AAATAATTTAACATAATGGAATCGCGTCCCCATCAAATCCATGTTCAAAGGAACACGTAGCAACTTAAGAATATGTTTGCCTTAATTTGAAGTTAAACAATTCATCTTTATCATATCAACTATTAATTTAAGAACCCTTTTTCCCGTTTGTTGGAGTCATCCATGATATGCATAAAAACACTAATAACTCAGTATTAAAATAAAGCGTGATATGAGTCAAGATATAGTTGGTAACCATCATATTCAACATGAATTATTCATTAATTACAGTTATTTGATCATTAAAGTTATCATCAAATCTATAGGAATATATACCTAAATTCTCTTATAAAAAAAAGGAAGTGTATTGTTAAGTGTTAACGTGTACTCTTAATCAACCACTAAAGAACAATTATGGTTTGTGAGGTTATTATAAGGTATATAGTAGGTTCAAATGTGTAATAAAATAGCTAAAGAAACCTAAAATTATATGGGCTTGTAAAAGATGATGAATTAATTTACTTTTTTTTTTTTATTATATTATCATCGAATCATTGTTACTACAATGTGAATTGTTGATTTTGATAATATTATAATGAGAAGAGCAATAAAATGATTATCAAATGTATTTTGTGCCATCCAATCATTGAATCATTCTTATATTAATATAGTATATCACTCACAAAAGTTATCCTAGCGACTATTTCCTATTCAATCTTAGGTTTACGGGCTTTGTCGTCGTGGAAAATCAATATTGGAAAAATAAGTTCCTATGCGTTATCACGACTTTCGTTTAATTTTTAAATTTATTTTAGAAAAATCCACACAATATTTATAATAGTAGGTCATTTTACTTCAAATAATAAATTAAACTATAATCAAGTACTCAAATAAGCTAATAAAAAAGACAACAATAATTTAAAGCTAACTATTAGTTAACAACTATCTACTAACACCTATTGACTTCAATATCTGTGCCAATTATCAATACAAGAAGTGAGGACAAAATTCGTCAAAAATTATGTGTATGTTTGGATGCACTTTTGTAATGGACTTTTGACTATAAAAGTCTATTTACTATATAAAAAGATGTTTGGTGTAGATAACAAAATGGACTTTTAAAAAAGTAACTCCCACAAAAAGTCCATTTCAAAGAAGTTTATATTGAAAACTTCTTGAGAAGTCACTTTTCAAAAAGTCCATCTTGAGATGGACTTCTGAATAAGTGTTTCCAAACAAGCACTATATATTTTCGAAACTCAAATTTAGTGACGAACTTGTAATAGTGATCGTCATTGTAATTCCGTGGCAAAAGGTATAATTGACACTTATGGTTTTGTTCACTAGCTATATATTCACTTTTCAATGCCAATATACCAACCACTAATTTCATAAGGTAGCTTAATTAGGTTAGTTTTCACCTTAATTTCAATGCAATGCATCAACCACTAATTTCATACAGTAGCTTAATTAAGTTAGTTTACACTTGAAGAGTGGAAATTCGTACAAATTCCATTTTCAGCTTTNAAAAAAAAAAAAAAAAAAAGGGAAAAAATTGACGATGGTGGTTTGAATGTTAAAGCGTGTTGTACATTTTGATCGTGACATTGATTTAGGTTAACTTGAGAGCCTTAGCTTAAAGGCCACGTGTTAAATGGTGTCTCAGTACTCCATGATTTAGAGGGTTTTACGGGGGAATTAAACGAGTAGAAAACAGATGATTTTTGCTCCAACTAGTATTCGATCTTGTGCACATGCATAAATGCAAATAAAATTTTATGTATATATGTATATATATATAATATTTAAAATCATAAATTAGATAATAGCATATCACATTTTATAAATTTTATCATTAGTAAAAATGAACAATAAACTATTAACTTACATATTAATTTTTATATCGATTGCAGTTATATAATTTTTGCAATCTTTTTTATTATGAACAATTAATTAGATAAAACAATATTGAAATTATTAGTATTATAGCAATTGTGTACCAAGTTTTAAAAATTTTGGTTATATCATAAAAATTAAATAACCTATCTTAATAAAAAAACTTGTTTAATAACTTAAAAAAAATTAAATAAATAGTTTGAAAAAAAAATTAAATTATAATACCATATAATGTGACTTTATGATTTGTTAGTAGCAGTCGTTACATAATAAAATAAATAAAAAGAAATATAATACTTAATTAATGCAAAGTAACGTCTTTTGGAGGAAAAAATTTTGAGGTTTTATTAAATGTTTGGTTAGCAATTATATATACTAGTATTCGATCTGTGCATTTGCACATATATAAATAAAGTATTGTGAGTTATTTGTATGCATATAATGATTAATGATTTTTCTTGCACTTTTTTGCAGGCCAAATTTATAATTAAAGGAGCTAGAATATTTATTTTTTTAAACTGCGTTTATCATATTGGATGTAATGTATATTTGGTATGTTTTTTTTTTGAATTATTTATTATTTATTTAGGAATTTCAAATACGTTTTTTATTTTCCAAAAGAAGTTAATTTAAATGTAACCACAACAATAACATCTAATCACGTTAAATAGTCAACACATTATATGGTCAGCTGTAAGTAAATCAAAAGTTTAAAATAATTTTTATAATTTTAAAGTGATTAGTGTGTTGATTATCTAATAATTGAGAGGTTAAATAAATAAAAAGTAATGGTTGTTGGAAGGAAAAAGTTATATTGCCACATATGTATAATTTAATATGTTTTATTAAATGCTCATGAGCCAGTAATTATATATATATATATATAGGGAGTGGTTCAAATAAAAACTAGTCCTAGTGTGAGAACCGTGAGAACCGTATTTGATGCTATTTTTTATTGTGTATGATGCTATTTTTAATATTAGATGGTGCTATCATTTTCACAAATGCTAATATAAATTGTGTTGCTATTTTTATGAAAATAGATCCATTTTAAAAATAGCACTAAAACACAATCAATCATAGCACTACCTACAACTATAAATAGCGGTTCTCACGGTACGCTGGGACTTAGTTCTCATTTGAACCAAATCCTATATATATATATATATATATATATATATAGATACCAACTTTCGTGGTAAATTATTTCATCAATATTTCTATAATTAATAATTATATTTGTCCTTTTCATCTTCTTTTTCTGAAATGAGGTTCTGATTTTGGAGTGTGAGAACCCATGGAAAATGAAAACGTGGCACTGAATGTTGATTTGAAATGAAAATATCATAACAACGTTGATTTAATGAAGATTTTAAAATATGTGATGGGATAAAGAATAAATTTAATTACTTTAAAATTTCAGAGTTCTAATAATAAGTAATATAACTTGTTATTTGGTCATATATTTTAAGATTTTAACTTAAATTTGATGTGTACACATGAATAGATCTGATTTTTCACTTCCTTTTCCTACAAAAAGCATCTGAGTTGTTCCTAGCTCAAGTGCTCTATTAGCTAATTATATTTCTACAGAGGAAACAGAATAAATTAGGATTTTACCTCCCAATTTAACCTTATTTGCACTCATGTCCCTCGAATCTAGGGACTTCAAATCTGGTAGAAAGAACCATGACGATAATATTTTCTCTAAAAGGTCAATATATCAATCTACCATATTTTTGCACAACAAATAATCTTTATAAGTCAAAAAACCTAAACGTCGAACCAATTGAGTTACTATCAAATCATTTTCAATCTGAAAGAATTATTTATTATCAACTCTTAATCGACCTCAAATATCGTTGAAATCAACGATCTATCGTAAGGAATATTATAGTTGCAATACCATGATATCAGATGCTATTTATATGTTCTTTTACCATTTAGCACTAAATATTAAAGAACATGATTAGAGGTTAACATGCACATTATGGCCATCTTTGTATACTTTTAATTAAGGAGTTATTATTGAAGAATAGGAAAATAAGTTCAACAAAACAAAAAAGAAACATATGTGTCATCCAAGTAGGCTAAATCACATTATTTATATTTAATTAATAAGGATCTTACCCAAATCTCCATTAAATTATCAGGGAACACATGGCTTGCACACGCAATTGTGCCAATGTTAATTAGATTAACTGTCAAGTTGTTTTTTTTAGTGCCTTAACCGCGTCGTTTGCAGTATTACATATGTGTGATGTAATAAAGGTAAAAAGTTGGGTAGGGTAAAAACAACTTTATATATACAACTGCACGAATAATTATGGTCAATTTGCATATTTTGAGTTACTTTAATTGAATCAACCAAATTGTTAATTTATAAATGTAATTTTTTTTATATGCAATCCCAACTTGGATCGTGTTCCATAAGTAATTTGATTTTGAGAATAAAATTTGAGGAAATCATCAATCAAATTTATTTTTTCCATCAATATTTATTGAAAAGAAAAATATCATAAATTAAGTTGTCTAATAGTCACATTACCACACGAATAGAATTTGAATAACTTTCCCGATACGCATCACAACCCAATTTTTTCCCAATTTGAGACCACTTATATATGATCGTTATGTGGAAAAAAAAAAAGAAAAAATAAAAAAAATAAAAAAAGAAAAAAGAAAAAAGAAAAAAGAA